CTCAGTCAGAGACAAACAGAAACACAGCTGTAGTCAGAGCAGGATGAGTCACGGCCCTTTAACCCTACGTTAAGTCAACAGTTGGTTGGTGGATCGTGGTCCTCCAACTGACCTCTGACCTTCTCACTCCTTGTCTTCCAGGAAACCGGCGGACCTCCAGAATCTGGCTCCAGGCACTCACCCGCCCTTCATCACCTTCAACGGCGAGGTCAAGACTGATGTCAACAAGATCGAGGAGTTCCTTGAGGACGTTCTCTGCCCACCAAAGTGAGCCATTTCACATCGCCGTGGCAACCGCCTGCCACACCTCTTACCCAAACACACTGCACTCTCTCTCTGTGTCTCTCTCTCTCCCTCTCCACTCATACTTACCTGGAAAATAATGATCAGTCAGGGACAGGGTCTGACTGTTTGTTTACGTGAGTCTGGTTCTGTGCAGGTACATCAAGCTCGGAGCTCGACACCCTGAGTCCAACACAGCTGGTATGGACATCTTTGCCAAATTTTCTGCGTACATCAAAAACTCCAAACCTGATGCAAATGAGGGTAGGTGGCCCATGTGTGTGTGTGTGTGTGTGTGTGTGTGTGTGTTGACACATTGTAGAGATCAGAGCAGGAAAAACCAGAGAGCAGCTTCCACTCTCTCTCTCTCTGTGTCTCGCCCTGTAAACGTAGCCCGGCTGAGCTGTAACAGGATTGCAGTATCACAACTCACTAGATAAGATTATTGGAGTCATGTGACCGATCCGGAGCCTCCTGTCCCGGCTCCAACACTCGCCGCCCTTGTTTCCTCACAATGGTGTTGGTGATCCTCAATTAAATACCAAGACTTTGTGTCATGTGTTCTCCACCCTGGGAAAACACGGAGCCGCGGTCAGCTGGACGTGAGAGACCGGGCTGTGTCAACACTGAGGAGGTTCTGTGATCAGTGCCCTGCACAGTAACAGGGAACTTTGGAACGGTTCTCTGAGCCAGGTTTATGTGGGACTAAGATGTCAGGTGGTTGTTTTTTAATTAAAGAGTGAAGCAAAGAGTGAACTAATAGCATGAGCTAATAAAGTGAACCAAAGAGTGAGTCAAAGTTATGTGGGACTAAGATGTCAGGTGGTTCTTTTTTTAATTAAAGAGTGAAGCAAATAGTGAACTAAGAAGAAGAGTGAACGCATGAGCTAATAAAGTGAACCAAAGAGTGAGTCAAAGAGTGAACTAATTGAGTGAACTAATAGACTAAAGCAAAGAGTGAACTAATAGAGTAAACTAATAGCATGAGCTCATAGAGTGAATCAAAGAGTGAGTCAGAGTGGATAGAAGAGTGAACTAATAGCATGAGCTAATAGCATGAGCTAATAGACTAAAGCAAAGAGTGAACCCAAGAGTGGAACTAATAGCATGAGCTAATAGAGTGAACCCAAGAGTGAGTCAAAGAGTGAACTAATAGACTAAAGCAAAGAGTGAACCCAAGAGTGGAACTAATAGCATGAGCTAGTAGAGTGAACAGAAGGGTGAACGAATAGCATGAGCTATTAGCATGAGCTAATAGAGTAAAGCAAAGAGTGAACTAATAGAGTGAACCAAAGAGTGGACAGAAGAGTGAACTAATAAAGTGAACCCAAGAGTGAACTTATAGCATGAGCTAATAGAGTGAGTCAAAGAGTGAAGAAGAGTTCATGGATTAAAACTTCTAACCTTCTAAAATCGATTTCACATGTATGAGTCTGAAACTGAAGTTACAATAAACTGTCACGTTGTTCTGACTCTACTGATCCTGTCTACATGCAGGGTCATTGAATTATTAATGATGAAATGCTGCCCTCGTGTGGCTGTTCAGCATGCGTGTAGTTCAGCCTCGTGTGGAGCGGTGGTGACGTTTTATCGTTGAAAAAAAAAGTTGATCATTTTATACTTTTGAATGATCGACTGCCTACACCAGGCACAGACAAACTACGGACCGGGGCCCGGATGCGGCCCATCTGGTTTTCTAATCCGGCCCGCCAAATTTGTCTAAAATATTGTATTAATTTATATTATCATTATACTTATGCCTTTTCCCTGCAATGCCCGCATTTCCCCGTTAGAGGGCGTAGATAAGGTTAAACGCATTTCAGTCTTTTAAATCAGCCATCATTGTGGTAAATATGAGGAGCCACACTTTTACATGTGGCCTTTTCTGCCCTAATACCTTCAGAAAAATACAGCAGACCTCTGCTGGCCAGTAGTGGTACTGCAGCCAAAGTGGCATCTACCTGTGGTTTCAAAATTATTAATAACTAAATAAATAAATCCAGCGCTGCCTGAATTTAACGCGAGTAGATAATATTTTTATCAATTTTTTTTTTTTTTTAATATGTTCAAACATGTCTCTCGTCTCCTCGCAGGTCTGGAGCGCGGCCTGCTGAAGACGCTGCAGAAGCTGGACGAGTATCTGCGATCCCCCCTGCCTGACGAGATCGACCACAACAGCATCGAGGACGTCAAAGTGTCCACTCGCAAGTTCTTGGACGGAGATGAAATGACTCTGGCTGACTGTAACCTGCTGCCGAAACTGCACATAGTCAAGGTGAGGGACGGGGGGGGGCGTGAAGGGGGGGGGGCAGAACAGATGAGTCATTGTTATTGACATCAGTTCCTTTATTTCTCACGCTCTCTGCCAACGGTGATGTTAAAAGTAAACGGGAAACTTTCCCACAACACGGTTTTTAATTTATTTTCACTGACGAGTCCAAAGACACAGTTCGTCGTGTCAGGACACAAAGAAAACGCCGGCGTTGGTCTGTTGTCAGTACACGTAGATGCTCAAATGTTACATTTGGATTTCTGACTCATGGCGCTATTTTAACGTAGGGAAAAATCTCACAGTTTCTCACAGAGAAACTGAAATGTAACAAAATGTAGAATTGAATAAAGAGATCTTTTTGTTTCTGTTTACTGCAGGGGTCGCTAACGTTTCTGAAACTGAGAGTTTCCTCAAGGGCAGTTAGTAACAAGAAGAGCTACTTGTTTGATACAGAGTTTCTCAACAACGTGATAATAATCAGTTCTGGGACAGACAACAGTTGACACTGAATCCATTTGAATATCACTGCAGGTGGAACTGATTCAAAAGGCACAGCAACAGTACCATTGTTGACTAGTTTGATTTTTAGAACATACCCCACGGGCACCTAAACTAGTTTTATTTTTAGAACATACCCCTGGGGTAGTTAACAGGGGTTACCAGGTGACCCCTGGCGCACCACGTTGGTGACCCCTGACTCTATGTGAAACCTGGGCCTCTTTAGTTGAACACCGTCCTCATATACTCACAGGAATTGAAGAAAGACACACGGCTGTTGACAGACATGATCAAAGGTTTGTGTTTGGGAATGTGTGTAGGATGAGTTAATCGGGTGGAGCTATGTGGGCGGAGCTAGAGGCTTAAAGGTTGCTAGCAAACTGCGTCAGACTCATCCAGATGTTTTTCCTGAGCCCTTTAAGGAAGTTATTTTGTCCAAATATACAAATATGCAGCTGGAACCATTTTTATAATTTTATTTTGTCTGTTCACATCTACTAGAAATTTCCTTCTGATTTTGGATGTAACGATCCATCGGGAATTGGTAAAAAATCAACACAAGTGCGTGACAATTCACATTGATTAAAATAAAAAAAAATAACGCATCAAGGTGTAAGGTGTAGGCTGTTATCTCAAAAAGTCACTGGTCATACCATGACACTACACACTCTAATACAGTAGGGGGCAGTATGCGCCTAAAAACGTAAGACCAGACCAGACCAGTTTGACCAGTTTAACCAGAGCAGATCAATGGTGATGTTCCAGTGTTTCTGGACAGAAATGGGACTTTTTTATCTTCTGTTGTTGAAGAGAACCATGTCAGTTGCTGAGGTTCACAGACCAATGTCAGTTGATGAGGTTCACAGACCATGTCAGTTG